ATCCTCTTGTTCCTCCGACGCGGTTCTGGCGAGCTAAGAAAATGCTTATCTCCCTGAGCTTGGCCTTCATAATTCCATTCCATCACAATAACCAATGAAAAGAAATATTGCATATAATTTAATAATATTATTAAAATGTAATTAGGATGCTATAGAAAACTAAAATTCTATGTTAGAAGGTGTGATAGATCTTTAAACTGATCCATTTTGTCTCACATTCCAAGGGCTAACCAAGTGCTTATGAGAAGCTCTAAAATGGTACACAAGCACGGTAGTGCCTTCTTTATGTTCCCAAGAAACTAATATTCAAAGGGATATTGCTTCCAATTGTTGACATAATACCTATCCATCACAACTTGTATATTAATAGTCTTCTATGAACTTGCTAGTCATAATTCAGTTACCATCTAAATCAGTGTTTTTCAACCTTGGCCACTTTAAGCATGCTGGCTGGAGAATTCTGGGAGTTGAAGCCCACACATCTTAAAGTGGCCGAGGTTGAGAAACACTGATGTAAACTAACAACTATCAGTCACTACATACTTATAATTAACTCCGTATATTAATTATGGTATCGCTGAATAAGTATTTTCCTCTGTCCTGAACCTCCCACTATCCAAATTCCTTGGATAATCCCAAGTGTTGAAAGCAGGAAAAATATGTCCCCATCCTCCATACCAATTAAAATTGCTTGTGCTTCCATTGTGTCCCTTTTCATTACCATTTTCTATGTAATCATTAAATAAAATCACCAAATCTTAAGACCGGTAATGAAAACAATGTATTTTAAAAAGGGAGCTAGAATGGTTACAACTGAAGGCCTTCCTAAAACTGAATGTTCACACTGGGACAGAAGAACATTCAAAGGTGGAACAAGGCAGATATCTGGTCTAAAATTTAAAACCTGAATGTGGCCATTGAAGAGGTCCTCTCTCTGGTCTCGGTCAAGCATGATTTTAGAACATATACAGTTGTTAAAGGGAGTGTGCTTATATTAAAGAAAATCTTGAGAAACAACCTAAGAAACAGTCATTCATTAGACTTGCTTATGGGCTATGAGATGTAAAAGCTAATCACTGCATTTTTTTAATAATATTTTATTGAGATTTTAAAGATACATATTTAAAAATTAGAAATGAAAAGGAAAATT